ATGAGTCGGAATCGACTCAACAGCACTTAACAACAACAAGGATCATAGGTAAAGTTGGGGTTTCTATCAGACTGGTAATCCCAGTCTTTTTTTTTTTTTTTTTTGAGTTTTAGTCCACATTTTCGTCCCACCCTCTCCAGGACCTCAGAGCGTTGGCAGTGGTAGCTGGGCACCACCTAGATCTTCTGGTCTCAGGGTCCCGGAGGCTGCGGTTCACGTGGTTTATCAGTCCTTTGGACCAATCGTTTTCACATGTCTTTGATTTTCTTCATTACCTTTGCTGTGGACAGGGTGGGCTTGGTGTTTTGAATCTGGGCATAAATTTACTTGGTAGTATTAGGCCTATGATTATTTCCATCTAAGGTTCACCTGCCTCTTAATGCTATTGATAATTAAAATGAGTGAAAATAAATGTAGCCCATCCTCTAGTGGATTAGGCATTGGGTTACAAACCACTAGGTTGGCTGTTCAAACCCGGCAGCAGGAGGAAGATGAAGCTGTGTGCTTCCATAAACATTTGCAGTCTCTGAAACCCTGTATGGGATTGCTATGAATTGGAACCGATTCCACGCCAGTGCGTTTGGGTTTGGTTTTTCATCAGTGTACCGTCTTTTAGTTTAGACTTTAATTGGATCATTCCACTGTTATTAGACTTTCCTAATTTTTCTTTGAATTTATTTGATAACCAAATACTTCTTTGAGTTGCAAATATTGGGGAATAAGACTACGTAAAGTTCAGGAAATGCTGGGAGGTTAATGTTTGGATGTATAAGACCTTTCTGGATTTATCAAGTAAAAAAACACAAAAACAAACAGAAAAGTATAGTGTTGAGGTAAATGTGAAAATGATTTTACATATTACAAATATGCCTGACCAGTCACAGAAAGAAGCCATAAGATTGGGTTTTCTCTTGTCTGTGAGCATTTAAATTGTGCTATCTGGTTAGAGCCAGGAATGATCAGCAGGAGAGTGCTGGTCCTCTGAGAAGCCTAGCAGCCATCGAAGAGATTTCCGAGTTTAACGTTTACTCGGTAAATCTAGTTTCTCCAGCACTTCATTTCCAAAAGCAACTCCCCAAAGAAAACCATCTGAATATTTCAAACGAGAAATGAAGAATAGTGTGATACATCACTATTCTTATTGAGTTCTCCAATTCAAATGTATTTTACAAATAAAAAGTGAACTTGATGATAAAATTTGACATTATTCTAGGTAAACAAATGTTGAGGGACGAGAATTAATGCCAGTCATTTCATGCTCATATGCTTACAGCTCCAGTAACAGCTCTACTATTATCACTATTACCAATTTGATTTTATGGGTGAGAAAAATGAGATGACATTCTCCACATGGCAAATCAAGATGCACTTAATTCTAGAGGCCTGTTTTTGGATTATCATAGGATA